CGCAGCCTGGAGGCGGCGAGGGCGGCGGCGGCCAGCAGACGGCGATCGCGGCCCGCGCTCCCGCGGCTCCGGGCTGGGTGCGGCCCGCACCGCCGCCTCCCGCCGCTGTCCCCTCCAGCGGCCCCCGCCGGCGCCGCCGTCCCTCCCGCCTCTCCTGGTCTGCGCCTCCTGTCGGCGGAGACGACCCCGAAGGCCTGAGCTGCCTCCGGGTCCTCTTCTAACCGCCGCCGCGCTCGCTCGCTCCGCCGCCTTCTCCTCCCCGCTCGCTCTCCTTCTTCGGGCACGTCTTCTCGCCCCAAATCTGGCCTTGAGCTGGCGGCTCCGTCCCTCGGGATCTGCCTCCCTCGACTCCGGTCTGAGCCCTTGGGGCGACGCCAGAGCCTGCAAGGCTGCGCCCGGGGCGGTACACCGAGGCGCCGACGCAGGGCTTCGGTCGGCGGGCGACCGGGAAGCCGCGGGAGCCCAGCCGCGGGAGGGCGGCGGCGGCGGCGGTCTGCGCGCATCCCCGGGACGGGGGTCCCCAGGACGGCCCGACTGCGCCGAGGCCGCGGAGGACGGGCGTTTTTAGGCTTCGCGGCTCCCCTACGGGGACCCTTCACTGACTTCCGTCCCCACCCCCCAACTCCAGACCTGTCCATCTCACCACCGCGCGGGGCTTTAGACTGTCTCTGCTACGGAAAGTCACCTCTAGGGGCCTGAAAGGTAGCTTTCCTGGAAGAGCGCTGGGGAGAATCTGCGGGGACTCTAGGCACAGCGACCCTCTCTGCGTCCAACATCTCCTCTGAGCGCCAGCCACAGGGAGGGGGCAAAGCCTGAGCCAGAAGTTTCAGTGACTCCACGAAAACAGTTCACTCTACTGGTGCTGGAGTCCAGTAATCAGTTTATTTGAAAGGCAAAGGCTTCTGTGTAATCGCGTAAATACACCATATACACACATACGCACATATTCTGTATGTGTACATGCCCATGTACACATATTTGTGTATCCTGCCTGAATGCATGTGTGTCGACGTATGCACGTATCCTCTGTGGGCATGTATGCATCTGTGTGTGCGTATCCTGCGTGTGTACACATCTATGCACACGTGTGCACGTCCATACACACATTCTGTGTGCACACATGTGCGGATACATCAGCAAACATGTGTCTATCGTTTCTCTAAGGAGGCTTGGCTCTGAATTTTTCTTCGGGATCATGCCCACAAGTTAAACAAAAGAACAGAAAGTATCTTTGCTCATCCGCACGCGCAGGCTGGTCTTCACTCCGGCATTCTGAGCGAAGAGATGCAGCTAAGTCTCCGAGAAGCCGGCAGGGAAAATCTGGTCCATCGACAGCAAACTCATCCCCCGCCCCCGCTCGGGGTCTGGGCCCTGACATCACTGGGAAGCCGCGAAGCCTGTCTCCAGACCCTCCAGTGCCCTGCCTCTGAGAAGCTCTCAGTCTGAAGGAGGCCCCTGCCAACCTGGGTGGAGGCTGGGAGGGAGACACAAAACTGGTTTTTCAAACTGGTTTCTGGACTGTTTTCTCTCCCTTTAAAGAGTCACTGGAGAGAGGAGTCGGAAGGAGCAGGCCGGTGAGGCTCCCAGAAGCCATTACCGACAGGAGTTGGTATGACGCTCCTCAGTCTTCATGCCAGGATGGAAGGCACTGAGAGGTCTGGCACTCCTGGCCCTGCCACTGCCTAATTGGCACAGGCGGCTGCTGCCAATCAGCTCTCCGTTGGCAACAAGTTACACCTGCGGCTCTGGTTTAATGCTTGTGCACGTGGGCACCTATGGTGTGTGCACCCGCTTGGGCCCAGGGAACATCTCTCACTAAAAAGGGCTTATGGGGTGCGCCCCAAACGCTAAGCACTAGCAAGATCTCACACAAGGCGAAACCATTGACCACCTGTTTAGATGCTCTGGAGAACAAGGGTAACATCCTATTTGGAAACAATTTTCAGGACTGTGGCAGAAAGAAACCAGACCATTTCAAAGTCGGCTATCCAAGTTCCCAAAAGCATAAAGAAAGCATTCCAGCAATGCTAACCGGAGTGCAGGGTGTTTATAAAATAAATTGCTCCATTGATATGGAAAATAATGTGCCAAGCCTGACTCACACAAAGCATTTTCAGGGGGTCTTAGGCTATTTAGTTTAAAATCTAAATTGAAAAGCAGAGGAAAAGAAATCTTTCAATTGCTAAGTGGATAATATAGTTTATAATTTGTAAACCATTTCCTTTATTTCAGTCTTGCTGACTTTCCATAACACACTGGATCTCACTGCACACCCATCGTCTCCTAAATTACCAGAAGAAAAACGAGGCTGTAGCATTCTTAAACCATGTCCTTGTTACTTTTTTTGTTCCTGCACAATGTGACTGATATTCGGAGGTGGTGCACATACAACAGATCAAAAGATTTAACAAACTCGATTGATGAAATGAGAAGGTAGTTGCAAACCACGTTTATAACCTAGATATTTACTGAAAAACTAAATACAAAATGAAGTTTCCTTTCTAATATAATTATGTAATATTTGATGAGTTCACTATGAAACGCTGAATGGCCTGAAACGGAAGCAGTTGAATCTGCAGAGACCGATTTGCAGTGGCACTGGCTACGGCAGCGACCTTGAAATAGTGATAAAAATCCTACAGCACCCATCGTGGTAACTGAGAGGAGCGCAAGGAAGGACTACTCCTGCACCCTGGACAGGCCAAGGGCTCGGGCTATTCACAACCTCAGAATTTTTTCTTAAATGGGCAGGTAGGGTGTCAGGTAGTCACTGCCCAGCCACCTGAACACCCTGTTCGTACGCCTAGGGCCGTGCCCATCCTTGCACGTTTCCTTGGACTACAAGACGGTCAGTCCCGCCGCTTTGCTTCGGCTCCGCTTTACCCACCCGCGGCCTCCAAGCACCTCCCTGTCCGGGGCGCACCGACCCCCGCGCGGAGCACACTTGACCGGTGCTTGGGATCAACGGATTCTCTGCAGGAAGTCTCTGGGCCACTTGCTAATCATTCAGACGGAATCAGCAGCGTGGGCGCAATGGTGGGGGGTTTTGAGGTTGGGTTTGGAAATCTCCTGTGCGTCCCCATATGGAAGACACTTTAAAGTTTGGGAATTCTAACCGCAGGGGCGGAGGGGCCTTCCTCCTCCCAAGAACCAAGCCTTCCGTTCGCACAGTGTAGGAACATGGCATCTGCCGCTCAGTCGCGAGGCCCCACTTTCCCCGCTCGGTGTCCAGTGGGCCCCGCTCCGCTCACAGTTTTCACAGTTCTTAGGCAAACAGATGCGGTTAGACTCGCTCCAGAAGAGCGTGGGAGCCACCGTTCTTTTGCGATTTAAACAAACTTTCTCAGCTGTTGTTGAGTTGCTGCTAGATTTCAGATAGATCTGTTGTTTCCGAGCCCCTGGCAATTTCTTTTCAGGAGGAAGAAGCCAGATTGAGAAGAGTACGCGCCCAGAACCCCCAGGCTCATTAAAAGACCCTCAAAAAAAAAAAAAAAATGTTCAGGGCTGATGCTAAAAGCAGCCACGGAGCCAAGTCTGACAAAACGCCCGCCCCCTCCTTTAGGGGAATTCTTGGGGCCTGGACTGGGAAGGCCTTTCCTACGAGAGGGGGCACTGGAGAACTTCGAGCGCGCCGCGGCGGAACAGGTACCCCTGGGAGGGTCTCACAGGAGAACCCGTGCGGGGCTTTCGAGTTGCACATCTCAGACGCCCCCCCAACTACCTCTGGCTCCCGAGGGCGCGCCTGTCCCTCCGAGGCCTCGGGCCCAGCTGGGGGTGAGGTTCCCGCCGCGGTCCCAACTTTCCCCTTCCCAGCAAGCGCAGAGTTGGCCGGCGGGGGTGCAAAGGCCGGATCTCCACTGCCCTCCTTTACGCAGGCTCCAGGCTGTATCCCCTCCCCACCCCCCGCCCCTCCTCCCGCTCTTCCTCCCGCCCCGGACGATTCTTTCTTCGGCTCCGCTTTTAAACCCAACCTTAATCGTTCGGAGCGCGCGGGCGGGAGAGGCGAGGAGGGCGAGCTCGGGGTTCGCCGCCGCCGCGCGCGCTCAGGAAGCAGCGTGGCTGTGCCCCCTCCCAGGCCTCCTTCCCCCTCCTTCCTGCCCCTGCTCCCCCTCCTTCCTCCCCGCCTCCCGCCCCGCCGCCCGCGCCCCGAGCATCTACTCCCTCCCCACGTCACTCGCCAGCGCGCCATGCAAATCACCGCCGCCGCCGGCTCCCATTGGCCGCGGCGCGCTCATTTAATGGCAGCCCGGGCCCGGCGTATGGCTGCTGGGCCCCGCGCGCCGCCGGCCCCGCGTGCGCCTCCGCTCCGAGCGCACGGCCTCGGGCAGGCAGTGGGCAGCCAGTCCCGGGCTCGGCGGCCCCGCTCTCAGGCCCTCTCCGCGCGCCTGCGCTCCCGGCGCTGCCCCCTGCCCCCCTCCCCAACGGCCCCCCTCCGCGCCCCCCTCGGCGCCTCGCTCCCCCCGGGCACCTGGGACCGGCACATGCCCAGCGCACGCGGCACGCCGCGCTGCTAGAAGTTGCAGCCCCGGAGTTGGGAGGCCGCCGAGGACCCAGTGCAGGAGGAAGGAGGCAGCGCGCGGAAGCGGCCGGCGAGGAGGAGGCAGAGAGCCCGGGGCCAGGCCCCGCGCACCGCTCGCGTCCCGAAAAGTGGAGCTGCAACTTGGCCACGACTGCACCTGTTTGCACCGCTCAGCCGAGGCGACCGGGCTGCGGCGGCGGCGGCGACCCCGGCCATCGCCCCTCTCCGGCGAGTGGTTGGAGCACGAGGAGAAACTTTGCACCTGTGAGCCGGACCTGCGCTGAGTGCGTGTGTTTTTGCCTCTTGTTTTGTTGTCATTGCTTCCTCCTCCCCCCACTCTTCTCTCTGGTAGGACTTCTCCCCCTCCCTACGTCTCGCTCCGTTCCACTGAGCTCCTCTCCATCCCTCACCCCCCCCCCCCCCGGCCGTCTATGCTCCTGGCCCTCCCCGCGCGGTGCCGGTGAACCCGCGGGCCGCCCCGATGTACAGCATGATGATGGAGACCGACCTGCACTCGCCTGGCGGCGCCCAGGCCCCCACGAACCTGTCGGGCCCGGCCGGGGCGGGCGGCGGCGGCGGCGGCGGCGGCGGGGGCGGCGGCGGCGGCGGCGGGGTCGCCAAGGCCAACCAGGACCGGGTCAAGCGGCCCATGAACGCCTTCATGGTGTGGTCCCGCGGGCAGCGGCGCAAGATGGCCCAGGAGAACCCCAAGATGCACAACTCGGAGATCAGCAAGCGCCTGGGCGCCGAGTGGAAGGTCATGTCCGAGGCCGAGAAGCGGCCGTTCATCGACGAGGCCAAGCGGCTGCGCGCGCTGCACATGAAGGAGCACCCGGATTACAAGTACCGGCCGCGCCGCAAGACCAAGACGCTGCTCAAGAAGGACAAGTACTCGCTGGCCGGCGGGCTGCTGGCGGCCGGCGCAGGCGGCGGCGGCGCGGCCGTGGCCATGGGCGTGGGCGTGGGCGTGGGCGCGGCGGCCGTGGGCCAGCGCCTCGAGAGCCCGGGCGGCGCGGCGGGCGGCGGCTACGCGCACGTCAACGGCTGGGCCAACGGCGCCTACCCCGGCTCGGTGGCGGCGGCGGCGGCGGCCGCGGCCATGATGCAGGAGGCGCAGCTGGCCTACGGGCAGCACCCGGGCGCGGGCGGCGCGCACCCGCACGCGCACCCGGCGCACCCGCACCCGCACCACCCGCACGCGCATCCGCACAACCCGCAGCCCATGCACCGCTACGACATGGGCGCGCTGCAGTACAGCCCCATCTCCAACTCGCAGGGCTACATGAGCGCCTCGCCCTCGGGCTACGGCGGCCTCCCCTACGGCGCCGCGGCCGCCGCCGCCGCCGCCGCGGGCGGCGCGCACCAGAACTCGGCCGTGGCGGCGGCGGCGGCGGCGGCGGCCGCGTCGTCGGGCGCCCTGGGCGCGCTGGGCTCGCTCGTCAAGTCGGAGCCGAGCGGCAGCCCGCCCGCGCCCGCGCACTCGCGGGCGCCGTGCCCCGGGGACCTGCGCGAGATGATCAGCATGTACTTGCCCGCCGGCGAGAGCGGAGACCCGGCGGCGGCCGCGGCGGCCGCGGCGCAGAGCCGGCTGCACTCGCTGCCGCAGCACTACCAGGGCGCGGGCGCGGGCGTCAACGGCACGGTGCCCCTGACGCACATTTAGGGACGCGGGGACACTGCGGCCCGCGCCCGCGACGCGCGAGGAGGAGCGCGCGGCCCGCCCGAGCGGCCTTGCTTTTGTACAGACGTTTCCACGGTCTCGTGAAGAAGAAGACACTGGCCACGAGCGCGGGCGACGCACGCCCCCGGCCCGCCTTCCCCGGAGCTCCGAGGGACCGCCGGGCGCGGCCACAGCCTGCGGTTTGGACTGACTTCGGTGTTTTCTTGAGACTTTTTGTACAGTATTTATCATTCACGGAGGAGGCAGAAAGCGTTTTCTTTGCTCGAGGGGACAAAGCCCAAACCCAGGGAGAGGCGACTCCAACTTCTCTAGCCCGGCCAGCGCGCCCACTCTCATCCTGCATCGCTTCCTGCCGGCGTTTGGCGGCCCTAGACCCGCGCCGGGGAGCTGCTCTCATTTGTTATCGATGTAGTAAGGCAGATCCAAACACTTACGAGTTTTTTGTAGTTGTTACCGCTTTTTTGGGTTGGTTTGTTAATTTATACAAAGAGATCTCCCCACTCCTTTCAGATGGCAGCGTTATACCCTGGGTTTTTGTAAAACTTTCTGTATCTGAGCATTTCCTTTTTTTTGTTTGTTTTGTATTATTTCTTGTATATGCATTGTGAAATTTTTATTTTAGGCGTTGCAGTGTGGGGAGGGGGATTCAGATTATGTACATAATTTCCTAAAAAAGCCTTTCTTCTAAAACCGAGAAAAAGACCTCTCCTTAAAAAAAAAAAAAAAAGCATCGAGTTTTGAGTCAATAAATTTAAGAGAGAAAAAAAAAAGCCCAGTTTTCCCCCATAATTTGGAACGTGCTAATTTTATATGCATGTTTTGTGAGCTCAAAATACAATTAGTAAATCTCACGGAGGAGGAAGAAATTATCAGCATAAACTAAAAGTAAGGGGTCCTCAGGGGGGGAGGGTACAATCTTCAGGGAGCTTCTTTCAGTGGAAGGGAAGAAAGTTTAAATCGTAGATTATTTTGTAATGTTTACTGTGTTAATACGGATCAAGAAATAATTACCAGGATAAAAAAAAAAAAAAAACCACCCCTCATTTTATAGTTTGGCTCTTTGGTGTGTTGTTTGTAACTGTGGGCTGACACTGGCGGGCTCTCCATCCTCCAGCTGGCCTGGGATCTGCCCCAGTTTGGTCTGGAGGAGGAAGACCCCAATGGCGGGACCAGGCTACGGATGGATGACAAAGACCACTGCAGAGTCACCGATGCCCCCAGTTCTCCCTGCAATTAACAAGATTGCAAATGGAGTTTATCTGAATTTGGCTCAAGGAAACACTCTTTGAACCAAAATATCCTGCCACGAGGCCCACTCCGTCTCTCCTCAGCCCCTCCCTCTGGCTTATTTCTCCTTGGGAAAGGGCAAAAGGATCTTGAATTCTCTCTCTCTCTGCCACCCCCCACACACACATTCACTAGACCACCCCCCATCCCCGGAGTGAACTGGGGCACATGGAATGTGGCGTTCATTATTCTCGATGAGATCAGAGGGTGTTTGATGCTTTAAATTTTTTAATTCTATTTTTTCTAGGTGTTTATGGGCACACTGCAGTTTTTTTTCTGGAATTTAAAGTTTTCTGTAAAACTTTGTCTTCAAGTAATCTGACAGCATTAAATATTGCATTTAAAAGTTATACTGTAGCCAATACATTTTGAACTTAGTCACAACATAAAGCTGAAATTATATTTTTGGAGGAAAAAAAAAAGCCTTGAGGCCACATCAGAACATGTTGATTTCATCAGCCTAGGCCTCCCCTTCATTTTCTTTCCTTGTCCTGGGATGAGCATAGACGATCCAGCCCAGAATGGGCCTCCGCTAGCACGTCAATGAACACCGCACTGAGCCTGCAGGAGAGAATAGCTTTAAGTAAAATGCTGACCTGGCAATTGACGTGTGTAATTTTTTGGAGTCATTTTGATAATTTTGCTTGAACTGTGCATTTTTTAAGTGAGTGCAAAAATCTCAAGAATGATGTCCACTGCTTCTAACGAGATAATAAAGTCCCCTCTTTTTTCTTCCCTTTTTTTTTTAAAAACCTTTAGAAATCCGATCCTTTGTGAAGATGTGGCTCCTGAAAGTGCTTGGATATATATGGATTGCTGAGGGGATTGGCACCATGAGATAGTCGGGGAAGAAATGAATGAAGGCCACACACGGTCTCCTCTGGGAGATGCTCTGGGAGAGCCTGCGAGGCTCTGAGAATTCACCACAGCCAGCTTAGGGAGCAGGCTGCTCTGACTGAAATGGGCAGTTGAATAGACTCTCTGGGTTCTTTTGCTGCCTCCTAATCTCTGCGTCCCCCCGCATTTACTAAAGAGGCAGGCAGATGCGGCCATGCTCACATATGCGTTCACACCCAGTTTGTATGTGGGCTCAGCTGTTGGCATCCAAGTCTTGGCTCACCACACTGTTAGCAATGTGGGTCCCCGGAAGAGTTTCCGACTAAAAAGTTTGCAGTAGGCAGGAGCTCCAGGCAGAGCTGTCCCTTGGTTTCTTGGAAGGTGGGCTCACGGCTTGGCATTTGGGCGCATGTGTCTCATACACGGCTGAAATGCAAGGCCAGGTGCTGGGAGCCACTTTGTTAAAAACCCAGGAAGACCTTCAAATGGGAATTCCTGGAATGTCGCTTGTTTGTATTCGTTTTGTTGACTGGAACGTGGTGAAAGGCAAATATAAATTCGCTCATGACTCTAGAAATAACCGGGACTGGGGGGAGCAGACGGTGGCTAGGATTCATCTCAGGATCCAGACCCCATCACCCCAGCTGCGTTTCTCCAGCTCACGCTGGTGGAAGAAAGGTTCCACGAGGCCCCGCAGACGTCTCGCTCCGCCGGGGTCTGCTTCTCGCCCAGGTGCTGCTCACCGCAGGCCCGAAACCACGTCGTCGAGGTGATTTTTATATGGCGGCTTCACTCGCTTCCCAAACCACGGGGTGGTATTTCTACCGCTTATTCCAATTCTGCTCGGAGACCGCGTGGAGAGCGCGAATGGGACTCGTTTGGTCTCGTACAAAGTTTGCAGAACTTCGTGCTGCGGCGACCGCGAGAACCGCTCTTAAACCCGCCACTGGCCGCGGCCCGGTCCGAGCGGTGCGGAGTTCGGTTTGCCGGAGGGGGTTTCTCTTCCTCCTCACCACCACCCCGCCTTCCCCCCCCCCTTAAACTAACGGGCCCTTTTTGTTGTTGTTGTTGTTCAGACTTTGACACCAGCCCCACGCCCGGCCGCAGAAACCCACCAGCCGCTAGCTGAAGTGAATTCATTTTAAAACCAGTCGCGGGGTCGGCGCGCGCCCGATCTGCAGATGTGCGTCGGGTAGCGTGACTGATGGGTCTATTAAAATCGTGCATGTGGGAGAAGAATAACGCGCATAGTCACGCATTTCATTTTCCCGACAAAGACTGGGCCACGCAGAGATCTGTCTCCGGAAAATTCCGGTTAATTCGAGAAACCATCCCGGGCCCCGGAAGGCGCGCTCCGGGGCGGCCAGGCTCTCGCTCCCACCGCCCGCGGCGCCCGCTCTGCTCGCCCGCCCCCTCCCAGGTCCCCCTCGCCCCCCCTCCCCGCTTCCGCAGCCTGGCCCGCCGGGCAGAGGCTCCAGAAACGTCGGCAGCAGAATGTAATAATAGGTTTGATTCCTTGGAAACTTCAAGTGAAAAGCAGACTTGGCCTTGGCGCAGCTCCTTTTCCAGCACGACTATTCGGCGGGATTGAAAGGCCGGGCCAGAAGGGGAGGGGAGAGGGACGCAGGCCCCGGGGCGAGCAGCCGAGGGAGGTGGGTTCGGTCCCCGCCCCCAGGCCTAAGGGGTCGGGACAGCGCGGGGGCCGGGCGAGGGACGCAGGGACCCCTCGCCCTCACCCCCGCCTCGGCCCCGGCCCTGCCCCGCCCCCCCAGCAGCCCCTCTGCACCTCAGCCCCGCAGCCCGAGGGCGAGGCCGTGAGGGGGACGCAGAGCCCTCATCCCCGCCCCTCCTCCGCCCCCCGCCCGGCCCTTCCTCTCCAGCTGCGCGCCACCGGGACCCTGCTCCGCCCGCCCCCGGGAACCCAGCGGCGTGGGCGGCAGCGCCCAGAGCACTCGGTGCGCGGCACGGGTCCCCTCCAGCGCGGGGGGCCGGCCTCCCGGCTTCGCCCGCCGCCCTTCCCCGGCCCTGCTCCGTTGAAGCCCGAGTCGGGGCGGCTTCGTGGCCTTTGCGCCCGGTCACGTCCTCCCCTCCACCCTCCGCGCCCCTTCCCGTCCCGCTAGCCACTCGTTTCTCCTGCGTTTCCTCCTCGCCTCCCTCTTCCTTTACCTCCTTCCCCTCCCGCCTCGGGCACAGTCCCTTCCTTTCTCTGTGCGCCCGGCCTCCCTTTGTCCTCGGCGCGTCCGTCTCCGCCCCGCGCCCCGGCCCCTCTTCGCCCCGGCGGCAGCCCCGGACGCTGCCTCCAGTCGGGTCGGGGTCCGCGGGTACCCGGGCACGGCCGGTCCCCCCCGCGGCTGGCGCGGGAGGGGAGGGACCCGGGGCAACCGACTCGGAGCCCGCGGCCCGGGCGACCGCCCCGACCCGCTGGTGCAGCCTGGGCTCCGGGGCCGGCGGTGTCAGCCGCGGGGGATTAAGGTGACTGATGCGAGGGAAGAGGCAGAGTGTTTCTGTGTTTAAAGAGAGGGGGATTAGTAGAGAGAAAGTCCTGACCCGGGGTCAGCGGCAAGTCAAACCCTTTTACAATCAGCTAGCGGAACAAGCCTGTCTCCAGGCCGGGCTGCAACACGTGGGAGGAAGGAGGCGACCGAGGGGCCGCACCCCGGGGCTGCCCGGCGTGGGGCGGGAGGGGCGAGACGGGAGACCCGCACCCCGGGACTGCGGGGCGGAGAGCAGGGGGGAAGCAGAGGAGAGGTGAGGGGCCGGCACCCCAGGACTCTGGGGTGGAGAGCACGGGGGAGGTGAGGAGGTAGGCGGGGACCCGCACCCCCGGGCTGCAGAGTGGAGGGCGGAGCGGGGGGCCC